GGGAGGGGAGACAAATGAAGAGAATTAAAAGTTCAAGTGCATTGAGAGAGGATTAAAACAGCACAAATTTCTCAACTATAGATAATCCCAGGTCAGAGAGTGGAATTGGCTTATCAGACCAATTTTAATCAAGTAGAAATAATTCAACAAGTCTATAAAATATACCAGAGATTTATTGACTTATTGGTATGTTTTTCGAATAGAAGTCTGGATGGTCCACCAGAAAATTCACAATGCCCCAAATTAGATATTTCAAGGAAGACATTTTCATCCTTTTGTTTTTTATTGTATTTTTTATGACCATGGTAAGTGATTGCTTTTAATCACAATAAAAAAATAATCAAATCATGACTATCATAGTCATATTCTATGGTGTAACATTTTCAGGGCAACACTCCATTCACCATTCAATTTTTTATGAGAGAAAGTTGGTTACTCTGCAGGTACCTAAGTGCATCTTTTCTAGTATTAAAATGAATTTTTAGTGGTTTAGACCACTCAATTTCCAGAAGTGCTCTATTTTACTTTCTGCTTAGTTGACTATCTAGAGCACATAATTCCATCTCTAATCAGCAATGAAGATATCTTTACTACAAATTTATGATACAAAATATAACCCCAAACGTTCTACTGCTGAATTTTCAACAAGACTTGAATAAACAAATACATTCATGAAGAATTCCCTTTAGGAAGGTTATCTATCTTTCTGTGTACTTTAAATTTTATCTCTCAATCAAGCCAAATCATCAGAGAACAATATACATTTTTATATCGCTGTGTTTTTGTCCCTCTCTGAATCTCTTGCTGAATTGAGCTTGGGCATTATGCCCTTGGTTTAAATGAAGGATGCTATAAGAAGTAGCCATAAGAAAAATACTGTTATAATTCCCAGGATACAGTATCTGAAAACAGTACCTCACACAGTGACCTCTTTATACAAGGACCCATGGGAGAAATTTCTTTCAGGGCTCAGTGCCAGGAAAAGCTATATATGGAAAATATAAAATTGTAACTGGTCATATTTCTCTCTTTGCTTTGGCTGCAAAGAAACTGAAGAGTCCTATTGTGAGCCATATACAGCAATTGTAAAGAAACTGCATTTATACTACTAATTTTACTCCTGGCTTAAGTAGAATAATCTATTATTGTACTTAGCCTTGGGTTTTAAAATCAGCATTATTCCTGTCTTTCTTAGGGAATGTCTTTAAGTTTTCTCAACCCCTCTTTTGAAGGAGAGGGCATTTTTACTGACTGTGTCTAACTTCAAATTAGTCTGCAATGTCAGAACTTTCTCCTCCACCTAACACCCTGCCGTTTCTAGAGTCTGACTTGCACAATGTAAAGCAGTTATCAGAGAGAGCAGGAATGTTACACAATTTGGGTCAACGTTCCCCAGAGTCTACTACTCAACACCTTTGTTTCTGAACTGTGAGTGCCTAGGGAAGGAGCTGTGTCGGTGATCTTTTACCTTCAGTGCCTAGCATGATGCCTAGAGCAAAGAAAAAATTATAAACATTGCCTGGATAAATGAATTCTTTAAATAATCCAAGTATTAAAATTACTAGAAGCCCAGTGCACTAGATTTGTGCACTCAGGGGGTATTCCTCAGCCTGGCCTGTGCCCTCTCGCAGTCTGGATGTGGGCAGCAGGCCTAAGCCATCAGTTGGACATCCTTAGCGTTGCCATGGAGGCGGGAGAGGCTCCTGCCACCACCGCTGCACTTGAATGGGCTCCTGGCTGAGTGGTGCTCCCCCTGTGAGAGCACACTGACCACCAGGGGCAGCTCCTGCTTTGAGTGTCTGTCCCCTCATGGTCAGTACGTGTCATAGCGACTGCCCGTTTAGTCACTTTGCATATTAGCCTTTTATTACATAGGATAAGTTGTCTTCAAGGAGTTCTGCCTAG